AGCAGGAGAATGCGACGATGAGGATTTCTCAGTTTATGAAAGTGAAACGGAATAAATTTAACCCACCGATAAGACTACAAATAGAACATTATTTATTTCCGTAACAAATTATTTGATTTTTGTATCATTTTGATGTATTTAGTGACAAATTGAATGGGTGAATCATGGGTTACTCTATATAAATTCTATTTTAACTATTTTCTGAAATCAACTTGGTGGCCCTAAAAAGGGCCGTTTTGTTACGTTGGTGATAAGCTTTAACCCCCGAAACCGTACAGTCGTCTGGCTCGACGTGGTGGTGTCAAGCGTATTTCCGGTTATATCTACGAAGAAACATGAGGTGTACTGAAGGTGTTCCTAGAAAATCCGTGATGCCGTCACCTATACTGAACACGCCAAGCGCAAAACCGTCACGGCCATGGATGTCGTCTACGCTCTGAAGTGACAGGGACGCACTCTGGGTTTCGGAGGTTAAAACTTATCACCAACGTAACATTGGTGGCCCTGAAAAGATAGAAGTCATTCCAGAAAAGAGTTAGAGTATCCCCTGCTTCCAAGTTTGGTTACAGGATTACAACTCTGAAGAGCAGCGGCACCGGTGGTGTTGTGGTAAGCGTAATTACCTCTCACTCAGATAAGCGTAATTACCTGGGTTCAATCCACGCCACTGGGATGTTCTGAGGCATAACATCTCTGATCACGGGAAGGAGAAGGGAAGTAAAGCCTGTGGTCCCCGGTTCATGAGTTGATGGGTTGATAGGTAGGGTCCAGGTGTGGGTAGAATTGGTGCTCAGTACGGAAAACAAATCCAAGGAAAAAAATGGAGAGCATTTTGTGTGGTCGTTGGGGGCGTGTGGTTCTGAATTGGCAGCAAAATGTTCCGCAATTGCATCCTCCCTATTCGTACACGCCCGAAGATCGGAGGCGAATGTCACTTCGACTTGTTTCATATAGGAACCATTCTCTGATGACTGTGTTGGGGAAACAGCATATGCATGTACGTAATTGGTGGATTTGTTAGTTATTTTGAAGCTTTTGGACAATGCTTGAAATTTACCACTTTTTCAATAGTTTCAATTTGAAAATCAACAGTCATAAGCATTGTTTTCGATGTGTAGAAATGTTTCTGATCGATTGGTGATAAAATTTTTGAAATTGGTCCAGGGGCAGCTAAGTTATTAACGTTCAAAATCTTTCATAATTTCATCTGCCGGGTTTCATAAACTGTACCCCGAAAGACGTAGTCCTACGTCAAAAAATTTGAGAATTTAAAGGGAAATCAAGATATTTTCAAAATAAAACTGAGGAGAAAGCATGGGAAAATTCATTCACTTGAAGTAGCACCACTGAACCAAAATAGCCATCCTCACCTAAGCACAGATTGCTGAACGAGTGTAAATTCTTCCAATCAAGTGATTCTGCAGCTAGACTCGGAACTGACAGCATTAGAAGGAACGAAGGATATACTGAATGGCAGCCGAACAATTTTCTCTAACGAGGGAGAACCAGATTAAAAGCGTAATAACAGAAACGCTACCGATTTAAATAACCGAGTGAGATATATGTTGGCTCAGTGATTTAAATCAGTTGAACTAGTCACAGCAGCTTCAAAGTATTTGCGTAAAACGTACGTTTATGTGTTACAGTATAATAGTATGTTCCATGTTTATTCCAATTTAAATGTGTCAATTTAGGTTTAAGCCTAGAAAATAAAAAGTGATTCTTTCTGCAAAATTCTCACTCAGCTCACTTAGCAGAATACAATTGTAAAAAGGCTCAGCATGCAAAAAATAATAAGTCAGAAATCATCCTCACTACTACACTCAAAAGTACCATGACTGTTTGTTTTACTCAATTCTGCGTTCAACGAAGAAAATAGAAGCAATAAGAATACGGACGAAATCAGTGAAACGATTTTTCCCATGCTTGCTGAGAAGAATTCTAAGGGAATTCAGATAAGAGTTCAAATGTAATTTTAAGAAGAGCTCAAAGTGAATTGAATTCTGAGTATCGATCCAAATGAATGCAAAGGAGATGTTCAAAGAATTTCATCATAGAATTTTTAGGAAATTCAAATGAGAGTCTTAACTTTTGCGTACTCAAGAGTTTTTAACCTATAGGGTTTTTGATCTAATTTCCTTCCTACTAATCACAACCCGCGCTTTACCCTTTCTTTTCTGAACGATTTTATACAAAAAGTGGGATATTTCTGTAAAAGATGACTTTTAAATTTATTCACCTTTCCATACGTACCGTTGGATTTGATAAAGAGTCACAAATTGTTGAGATATTGCTTAAAATCTAATACTGCTTCTTGATTCTAAATTCGTTCTACGAGTGTCAATTCCGTCCTAACGCATTGAAACGCCATTAGATTTTCTTCGTCCTACGGATAAACGTAGAAAAAGGGGATTTGCTAGGAGCATGAAGGGAATCAATGGTCAAGGGAGTTCAGAGGAGAAATACTGAAAAATAATTCAAAGAGTGAGCATCCATAAAGTACGTTACGCTCTGAAATGGAAGGGAAGTTTACAAATGCGTGACAAGCAATATATTATGTATAGGAAAAACGTGAAGAAAGGGGGAGGAGGAATGATTTCCCCTACATATCGTGTGATGTGCTCCTAGACACTCCTCACTTCCCGCCTCACAGCTCTTACATGTTAAACCTCACTCTCACACTTTATTTCTCACTTAAAGGGCGAACACGAAATTATTGCGACACATTCAACAGGGCATAACTTTTTTACCATTGGGTAAAAATCAACCAAATTTTGCACACCATTTCATTTCATGTGTATTGTGTACATGCTGTGAAACTCGAAGTCGTGTTTTTCGATTCAACGAAAATGGAGGTTAACCAACGCGAGTTGAGAGAACAAATTCTTTCCAAACACCTGGAATTTCCTGACCTGTATCACCGGCAGTTGGGAAAAATGTTGAACATTCACCATTCAACCGTCTCCAGAGTGTTGAAGCGGTTCCAGGAGTGGTTGACGTTGGACCACGGCAAAGGAGCTGAAAGAAAAACGGAGGTAAAGGTGAAGCGGATGATTAAAGCAAATCCCAACGTCTCAAGCCGTGATTTGGCTAAAAAGATCGGCATGTCGCAGAGCTACGTCCAGAATGCAAAGAAGAGAGCTGGACTACATACATACAAGGTACAGAACTTCCCAAACCGCGATGAGCGGCAACAATCGACGGCTAAAACTCGGGCACGGAAGCTCTACGAGAAGATGCTGACAAAATATGGCTGCTGTGTGATGGACGACGAAACGTATATAAAAGCCGATTTTAAGCAAATTCCGGGGTTGGAGTTTTTCACCGGCAAGAGCAAGTTCGATGTGGACGACAAATTTAAGAAGAAGAAAACGTCGAAGTTCGCCTCCAAATATCTCATTTGGCAGGCCATCTGCTCTTGCGGACTGAGGAGTGAGCCTTTCGTGACAAAGGGCACAGTAAATGGCGAGATCTACAAATCTGAGTGCCTCGAGAAGCGCCTTTTGCCGTTCTTGCAGCAGCACGACGAAGCTCCGCTATTTTGGCCAGATTTGGCATTATGCCACTATTCTAAAAGTGTCCTGGAGTGGTATGAGGCCAATTCTGTCCATTTTGTTCCAAAGGACATGAATCCGCCAAACTGTCCGGAGCTGCGCCCGGTGGAGCAGTACTGGGCAATAATGAAGCGGGAACTTCGGAAGAGCAAGAAGACAGTCAAAGACGAGGAGGACATGTTAAGAAAATGGAAAAAAAAACTGAGAAACTGGTACCGGATGACACTGTAAAGACTTTGATGGAGGGCATCAAGCGAAAATGCGTTCAATTTTACGCTCAAGGCTCCATCGATTAACTTTTCTTTTGATTTTTGAAGTAAATATATGTATAAAACTACCCTGAAATTTTGGTTTGATTCTAAACATTATAAGAAAATTGGCATGACATTTTCGGTGTCGCAATAATTTTGTGTTCGCCCTTTATTCAATTCCCACTCATTCCCTTTCCATTTTATAAAGAAAGAGAAAAGGCTTAGTAACTACCATTTAATTCCACTACCTTATTTGCTTATCCTTGGCAGATACGCGTATTTCGTCTGCAATCTGCAGACTTCTTCAGTGTCTGTCAAAGTCGAGTATAAGTAAAAGACACTGAAGACGTCTGCACATTGTAGACGAAATACGCATATCTGTCAAGGATAAGCAAATAAGGTACTGGAATTAAATGGAAATTACTAATCCTTCTATCTTTCCTTATACAGGAATTCCACTAAGACGCCCACATTCATCAGGAGTTTACAACTTCACTGTCCTAAAAGTAGAAAACTAAGCAGAAGATTAGTGTTACGGATAAACATTGCACGTTTAAATATTAGATTCCCTATATTCACCGGATACAAGTGCCGACAAACGGGGCACTTATGTACTTTAAAACTGACTGGATTGTTAATTAATTGATCTACAACAGCGTTCTTGAATATATGGATCGTGATACACTGGTTCTCAGATAGGTCACTGTAATACAGACAACTTGGTCATAGATTTTTACGGAAAATTTGAATTGGATTTGCAATTTTATGGAGAATGGATCAAATCATTCGAACAGTTTAAAATGACGTTTCCTACCACTCGAACTTTGCCGTGGAACAATATTCTGAAAACATGTCTTCTAGAACCTCGAGAAAATATGGTTTTATTTATGCTAAGCTACATGCATTGCTGGCATACATTGCTTCATTTTCTTAAAATCACTGCTATGAGATCGCCTCAAAACTGCTTGACGATATGACTAATTGTTTAAAATGTGAAAAAATAATGTGTGTTCAAAGCTAAACAAAAGCATCCAGTATAAAACTATAGTGCCTTTACCGGCGTAGTTCTTAATTAAACCCAAGTTTAATGAAAACAGACTTGTCTGTCGAAGACAGTATAGCTGCAAATATTGCAACTAATGATAGAAGACATTTGTAGAATACTTTTAACCGAATGTTTCACTATCTCCCCCAGGAATACCACCGCTTTCACCTGTTGCACCAGCCGCACCTCGATACACGCCCCATCCAGGACAACTTCGACACCAAGTCCACCATCCTGTGGTTGCTGTCCGGGGCCTTCGTCGTGTTCGGTGCCTTCAAACTGATTCAGCTCATCCTGCGACACTCGGAACACCAGAGCGAAAAATGGCGCCAGGCACAGCACGTGAGTATACACGACCAGGGGGAAACTGTGCTGAGTTCGGTGTCGCCCACAAGTGCGCATCCTTCGGCCAACTCACAAGGATTCCTCTTTCCACCGAGTCATCCCTACGGACAGCGACAATACACCCCAACGATAAGCTAATTAAGACATCCCTCCGTCTCACACCGCTCATCATCGCATTCTAACCAAGCAGCCCCGCGCCGGCAGGTACCGGTCCAAGCTCCAGAGCTTTCGATGTGTTTCGTCGTCGTCCGTCCCGCGAGACTTAAACTGGAGCACAAAACCAACAACCCCCTGCTAGCCTGCCGCCACCCATCACTGTCGTCGTCCTCGCCGTGTGCTGTGCTCACGATCGTCGTTGTTTAATATTAATGTTGTTTCGTCTGTTTCGACTCTGTTAATGTTATTTATTTAAACTTTAGATGAAACTTTTTACCGAGGCTTTTTTTTCTATTCCATACCTATTCCCACTCACAGTCCATATCATCGTTTGCTGGTAGTTTCTTGTTGCTGCCACATCAACACAGTTCCAACCTAATCCCAGCAGCGGCAGCAGCAAATTTGCCGGTCCTAAAAAGATCCAGCTTTTTTCGCGCTTTCAAACAACTCATCTGTTTGTTCTTTGTGCATGTCTGGGTATGTGAATGAAGTTGTTTTTCCCGGAAGAACTGCTTCGTGTGTTTTTCCTGCGCTTCGTCGTTATTTTTGTATGCACTACGAAAAAGAAAAAAAAGAACGGAACGCTTTCACTCTGAAAGCGTATTTCCTCTTTGTACGGGAAATACCTACGAAGGAAAGTTTATCCGAAAATTTTCTTTCTCTCGAATTTAATTACTGCTAATAGTGTTTCCAGCTCATGCACGGCAGAGTGATAGCATTCGAAAGGAAGTGTTTGTCCATGAAATGAATTCAAAGCACCGGCTGGCTGTAGCTGCTGTTCCGGTGGACTATCGAATGGAAGATAGTGAGGAAATGTGTACGTTCGCGTAACGGTCGAAAGTGCAAAGTTGATCTTAATTACGAATGGAGTTCAGCATGTTGTTAAAAGGTACCAATTTACATTGAATTACGGCTTTATTCGGTTGACTGACCGGTGCAATATGCCGAAGATGAGTTTAGTTGTAAATTACTTGTAGGGAAGGCGTAGGAGGGGCACTGATCGATTGTTATCATACCAACAATTTAAATCGATTTGTATTGCTTACTTTGAGTTCACGTTTGTACTTCATCACTTCAACAGGCAGCGTGGCCGAGCGGTCTAAGGCGCTGGTTTTAGGCACCAGTCAGAAATGGCGTGGGTTCGAATCCCACCGCTGTCAATTACTTTTTGTGCTACTGTGAACCGTTCGTGTTTGCTGAAATCGAATACACGCTGGTGTGTAAAAACATCTAATGATAATTCCTGTGATCAGTACTGCATAATATCAATATCAATACCTACAGGATGCTGAGTTTCACTATGCAACCTGATGTCAGTATCAATTCGCGCAGTTAGAATATCAATAAATCAATAAAAAATCGCCTAAATGTCAGCGCGTAAATGCCTTTGACATCGTAAGAGACCACTTATATTCAAAGTCCTGTCGCAAAAGTTTCTTACATTTGCCAGCTAATCGAGTACCGTAAAACGGGTTAAGATTGATGGTTTTTTTTAAGTATATTCTGAATATTTTTTACAGCTAATATTTTTTTTTATTTAATTATTTTAAACAAGTCCTCATGATCCTTGGGTCAATTCGTTAGTAATATGCCTGATGGGAATTAAATCATTTGTATTATTTTATTAGCCTTATGACCGAACATCAGTATTTTGATTTGGGGTTACTTTGATAATCCTCGTTTAATGCAGAAGAAAATGTGTGAAACTCAAATAATTTAGTCACTGAAATATGCAACTTTGAATCCGTATATAATCAGAAAACATCATCAGTAATAAGAATACAACATTTATTTGTTATGGCTATATTAGAAATACATTTCATAAGTGATGATTTGAGTGCTTTTTCAAACAGGCGATAAACAAGAAAATTGAATTTTAATATGTTTTTAAAATATTTAACACATACAATATAAAAACAATACACCATATCAACGAAAATGACCTGATCTACAATATGGAACCAATGTTTCCAATTCGGAAAAGGCGCAGAGGGTAAATTTAATCAATGTATTCTACTATCAAAGTTACCCGCATTATCAAAGATACCCCGTTTTACGGTACCGATCTTCGCATCAGTAATATTAAAACAATGTAACGGTTATACAAAAAAAAAAGATTTATTGAAATAAAAGTATGATTTTCAACTTTTACTTAGTGATATTGATATGGATAGTAACATCAAAGCCGTACCACCTGATATCATGCTTAGTACGAATATCAGTGAAAGTGAAATTCTAGACCAATATCTTACTTCAACTGACATTTTTGACAGCACGTAGCACTGATCCTGAAAAAATGTGGTCGTTTATAGGGAAATACCTGCATAAAAAAGAGGGACCTTCCATTCAATTCCACTGCTTTAATTGCTAATCCATGACAGATCACGTATTTCGTCTACAATGTGCAGACTTCTTCAGTGTCTTCTACTTTTTTTTGCTTTACCAGCGAGATTTATATCACAGTGCACAGTGGTCCAGAATGCAGATTCAGGTGGAATGATATGCTTTGAGCCTGAAATTGAAACTTTAGACTAAAAGTCTCTTCTACAAAGTTGTTCCTTATAGTTATGCCCTCATTTTTATGACAATGAATTCTAGGGTGGTTCCTATTATCATTAAAATCAAAAAACTAACTTATTTGTTTGAATAAATTAAGGTATACATTCTTCGGCAAAATTATAGCTGAGTTAATTTCAAGCAAATTTGTAGAAGACAACTTTTTGGTATCTCTTTAATTGGCCGATTTAGAGCTATTTTCTTGAATTGAGTTAGGGTGGCTCTAAAAAAAACAGTTTTTTTGCTCTAGTTTTCTTATTTCGAATTTCTCAGCAAAGGTATATTCAAATAACTTTTAGATCTTAAGAAGGCGCAAAGCTTGTCAATATCTTTCGCCGATCAAGAGTTATTGACGTTTTTATACTAAAAATATGCACTTTTCAAATGTTAATATCTCTGGTTGGGGCAAACAAAAAAAAAGTTTTTCTACGGCATTTGAAAGGGTGTATGTTATTCTCAATAGTATGAAAAAATTGGAGATATGTTATTTTTTAAACTCGTATAAAATCAATTTGAATTTATTCATATTTTTTACTATATTCGGGTATATCTTTTTTATTAGAAGAGATACAGGCAACACATTTCACTATAAAACATTTGTCTTAAAGAGTTTTAAAAGTCTCTAGAAGATGACTTCCATGAGAAATTTCAAATAACAAATAACTATAAGGAAAAACTTTGTAGAAGAGACTTTTAGTCTAAAGTTTCAATTTCAGGCTCAAAACATATCATTCCACCTAAATCTGCATTCTGGACCACTGTGCAGTGTCTTGCAAGGGCAAAATTAGGTTAGACGCCGATTAGCTGAACACCATGATACCGAACGCTATTATACCGTATGGATTACAAGGTTGATCGTCGTTTAACCGAAACTGAATTTTCAGTCATACTTCGGCATATGTCATCGGTATTTTATGAATTTGTATAAAAATACAACATGTTTATAAATAATGTATCCAGGGTGCCAGAACCTTTCAAAACTCTGGAGATTGTCTTCAAGTTTCATGTTTTGTCTAATCGTATTAAAAAAACGTAAGTTTTAAGTCTTGCAATACTCTGATTTTCCACTCCCAGATCTTTTTAATTTCCCTAGAAACCACTAACAAAATATTTTTTTTTGAAAATTTTTTTTTCAATGTTGTCTCATTCAAATTATAGGTTAAGATGACGGAAATCATGCTCAATAACATTAGGAATAAAACCAGAATTAATAATTAACCAGGGTGGAAAAGCGATAAATTGGCATTACGAATTGTTTAAGGAAGCTAAAGCTTGCAAGAAATTAAGATCCAAAGAAAAGATTTTTTAAGGTTACGAACTCATGTTTTGCTCGATATCTGAATTTTATTTTCACCAGAAAGTGACAGATTTTTAAAATTCGGAGCCTAATATTATTTAAAAAATTTCCTGCTTCGGTAAATTTTGAGCATTTCGAACATATTTTTTTTTTAACCAAGACTTATAAAAGGATCATAACCTTGCAATAATAGCCCTTTTAATGTTTTCCATGTATTCTTAGCGATTGGCATTTAGAAAATTTTACAATATTTTGTGACTCCGACAATTAAGCAAAGCAAAATGATAAAACATCTTTAGTATCCCTTACTCCCTAATTGTCAATAAACGTATAATTATAAAAAAGTTGCGCGTTTTTTTGCATGAAAAGGATTTTAATTTTCTACAATTTGGTGAATGCTAAATACTTAAAGATTTCTTATTTTATCGAAGACATTTCCTGTTCCAACGAATAAACTAATCACGAAACACTGTCTTTTAACAAATGAGCTTAAGCTGGAATTATTTATTTTCATTAGTTTAGGCATTAGGTTAATATTGTGTAGTGTAGACTTACAATTCAGTGTAGGCTTCGTATTTTAGGTTAGGTAAGGTAATAATAGAATTCAGTAACGTACTATGCGCTGTAAGTACATAACTTTCATAAATTTTACATTTTTTCAGTTGCATATTGTTTTTTTTTTTTTTAGTTTTACTCACAATTATAGTCACTTTAATTAATCAAATGTTGGCTTGTTTTGTACTGCGATTTCGAGCGCGATTAGTTCGCACCTACAATTAATGATAGGTAAATTATTAGTGATAGAATATAGTGATTTTAAGTTCTGTTCTTACGGTATTCAAAATCACTTAATTATGCATGGAAATAGCCTCAATAGTAATAAGATTATGCGTATAGTATTAGGAAAATTAATAAATTAACTGTAATATTGAATTTCTTCCGTTTTCCACGCACTATCTACCACGCATTCCATTCCGCTTTGTTCTGT